TATATATATATATATATATATATATATATATATATATATGTATCACCATACATATATGTTTATAAGTCAAATGTATAAATTATATTGCTTAAATTAATTAAGAAACTTAGAAATAATAAACTTTATATGTCTTGCCCAGGGACACTTCGACATGTGACTGCTGGTGGATTCAAACCCCCAACTCTTGCATTGGAGGACGACTGCTGTAACCACTCAGCCACAGCACAGTGTGTGTACGTGAGTGCGCGTGTGTGTGTTTACTGTCAAATTTACCAATGACTTCTGAGTTGAAGCATTTGTAACAAATAAATAAAAAGAAAAAAGAAATTCCAGCTTTAAGGTTTGTGGAGAACTGGACACAAGAATACAGACTGACACAAGGCGCTGGAATAAAAAATAAAAATTATTTAAGAAACAAAGCAAACAGCTGACAGGGCTGCCACTACTGCTCATCGGACTACTCAGTTCAATTCAGTTTATTTATACAGCGCCAAGTCATAGCAGAAGTCATCTCAGGACACTGAACAGAAATATTCACGTAAAAATAATAATTTAACATTATTTATCTGAGGAGCAGCTTTGAATTTAACTCCATCACAGAACTCTCATCTTGAACAAGCATGAAGGCGACAGTGGAAAGAAAAAACTCCCTCATGAGGAAGAAACCTTTAGCAGAACCAGCTCAGGACAAGCGGCCATCTGCTTCAACTGACTGGATTTGAGAGGAACAGATACACAATGGCAGATCAAGAATCACATGTTAAGATAGAAATAGTATCAAATGAAAACTATTCAATTTTAACAATTAATTTAAGGAAATGAGGTCAATTTGTCCTCCTGTAGTCTAAGCCTACAGCATCTTAACAAGCCAACCCTAACAAGAGGAGGGACCGTGGGTATATTGGTAGAGAGATGTTAGAAATGCAGCTGCCAGGAAAAAGACAAAGAGGAGATATATGGATGCAGTTAGAGAGGACATGAAGGTAGTTGGAGTGAGGACAGAGGATGCAGAGGACAGAGTGAGGTGGAGGAAGATGACTTGCTGTGGCGACCCTGAAGAGGGAAAAGCCAAAAGAAGAAAATCTAATGGAAGCATATATAAAGAAAAAGAGTATTGGTCCAAGCATTGAGTCCTGAGGAACTCCATGACAATCTTTGGTGTATGATGAACCTTTATTGATTGCATTTTCAAATTGGAATCTATCAAATAGATATGATTTAAACCATTTTAGAGCTGTTCCTGTAATCCCAATATCATATTCAAGTCTCTTTAGTAAAATATCGTGATCAACTGTATCAAATGCAGCACTGAGGTCTAACAGGACCAGTATAGACACAAGTCCATTGTCTGAGGCCATGAGAATATCATTAGTTACTTTTACTAGTGCTGTTTCTGTGCTATGATGAGCTCTAAACCCTGACTGAAACTCTTCAAACAGATTATTTCTTTGTAGATGTTCACGTAACTGACCTGCATCTATTTTCTATAGAATTTTTGAGATGAAAGTTAGATTATATATAGGTCTATAATTGGCTAGGATTTCTGAATCAAGGTTATATTTCTTAAGTAAAGGTTTAATTACAGCATCCTTAAAGCACTGTGGTACATAACCGTTTATTAGAGACAAATTAAGCAGATCCAAGATGTGGTTATTAATTAGGGGAAATACCTCTTTAAACACTCTGGTGGGATGAGATCTATCAGACATGTGGATGGTTTGGATGAAGCTATTGTTTTTGACAATTCAGAAAGCTCAACAGGACAAAAACAGTCCAAACATAAATCAGGTTCTAGTGACATTTTTAAAGTTGTCTCATCTGACATTAATGTGTGTATCTAATGTATGTAATGTAGACTAATGTAGGCTATCTAAATGAGACTTTAGCTTCTCATCTACATGTATAAATTGAGCCTCAGGATCAGGGATTCATAACCAGCAAAGCTTTTGTATCTATTTTTTCTTTCACATTTTTGTCAGCTGTTCATGGCACAATAAACATTGAGAGATCATCCATTAAATAAAGAGAAACCTCACTTTGCTGTTAAACGCCTTCATACATCATTTAAAAAATAAACTCCTCCCTCACTGCGCGTCATTTCTGGCCGGATCATGCACCGCGGCACAAATAAGAGGCAAACCATTTCCGTTTTGTTCTCAGACGTCATCTTTGCGCTTTGTATGCTGGGAAACTGTGTTCTTAGACACTTTAGTCTCGTCATAGTCGTCAAGAAAAACTGCAATTCCCATTTTTCGTTGCGCCGTCGTGGTACATGCTGTTTCCAGTGCACAGTCCTTGTGCGACGGTAAATGTGGTGTTTGGAGTGTTCACAGCCCCACCAGTCTCGCGCATGGCCCTCAGGATTCGAAAGTTCTGCTTGTTCCTGACTTAAATACACAACTTTTAGTGTAAGTGGTGCTTTCTGTTTGTCCTCAGCTTCAGCGTCTCTTTGTCCTAGCTACTTTCGCTCGCGAGGTGTAGCAGTAAGCTAACGTGTGGACCAGAAACTGACAGCTGAGCTGCCCACAGTTTAGCCTGAGCTAAAACGTGTCTAACCAGATACTGTTGTGTCGATTTATTTTCCTCCTAACTCTGATGTTCTCCAGCCATGTCTGCACAGTGTCAGCTAGCCCAACACCTGGCTGTAAATAGCAGTGACTGTAGCAGTTGAACTACATTGTACAAATCACTCTGCAGTTGGCTACTTTATTTTGAAGGCATACAAATTACTTCCGGTCAGCTTCCAGATGAAAGACCAGGAATCCAATTTCTGAGTAACATTTTTCATAAATTACACTGTTTTCTTTTTGGAGCTCATTTCAGTAAATAAGTTCCAATTCAAATTGTACAAAATACTGCCAGTCAAATCCATTTTTAAGAATTTAAAAGTGCAAAATGGTAAAAATCTTCCGTATTTGTGCAACTTAATGATAACTTTTACCAGGTTACATAAACCAGCTCGTTGGTTAATATTTAATTTCAGACACGAGTTGTCATGAGGCCTATTTGAACCATTTTTAAATAACTGTCAGGCATATTTTACTCAACACTAGTAAATATTAGTACCTCTGCTCCTCCACCCTTCTCTTTATCTGATGTTGAATGTTCAGCATTAGTTTGCAGCAGTGTTGTAGTCAAGACCACCTAACCCGAGACCAAGTCAAGACCACCTAACCCGAGACCAAGTCAAGACCACCTAACCCGAGACCAAGTCAAGACCAGAGTACCGAGACAAGACCAAGACTTTTGGGGTCCCAGACCAAGACCTCAAGTCTTGAAGCTCAACCTTTTCACAGATTATCTGTCTTATACTTTACTGTCACGACATAGTGACAGTTTTAACAAATATGTAAAAAAAAAACATGTAACTTGTATAAAAATATTTTTTTATAAAAGTTACATACTTCAACTTTAAGTTAGCTTTTGAATGAATCATCATCTTTTATAAAATTTCAAAGCTACATAACAAAGAAATCAGACATTCAGTGGGTTTTGCGCAATAATTTTCATGTCATGTGACCCGCTGACACAAAACTTATGTTAAACTTCTCTACTAGACCTGAGAGACGAGACACCCTCATTTAGTTCTCATTTTCTCATTTTACATGATTTATATGTTCAAAAATCATGGTTTTCGCTCAATAACTAATTAGAAAATGCTTTAAAATGAGAAATAAATGATGGTGTCTTGTGTGTCAGGTCTATTAGAGTAGTTTAACATTAGTTTTGTGTCAGTGGGTCAAATGATGTAAAATACATTGATTTATGTTTCTGAAGCGTGTTTGGTTCTGTAATATGTTGACGGTCCCTAAGCGAACCATTACGTCTCGGAGGAGGGGCGGACTGAGCACAGCCGACTGAAATCAGACTGCCTGCTTCGGGTAGAGAGAGAGGAACACACCGTCCAACGTAAAACTAACTTCACCGCGGTAGAGAAACGAGGCTCCAGCAGAGCACGAACAGTTCAGAAACAATTTGAAATGAGAATTAAAAGCTATTTATTAACTGATGAAGTCATGTTTTCGACTGCTTGTTGCTAGAGAATCTGTTCTGACCCAAAGTGCAGCAGTGACTATGTTTACATGTGCAAAATGTTTTGAGCGGATTGAAACATTTTCAGATTAAATAATTCAAATGTATTGTTTACATGGGCACAATCTGTTCATGACGAGCGTTTACATGCAGCGGGCTTTGTTCTGAACAGCAGTACTGACATGTGCAGAGTGGTAAACTCTTCTTAAAAAAAACACACAGAAGAAGAAGTTCTACTTCCGGGTGAACGTAAACAAATCTGAGCACCAAAATGGACCCGCGACAGGTTTTAATGATGGTGGAGACGTTACTGCGCTCCCTGACTGAGCTACAGGTGATAGAGATCATTTCAAGCTCGTTCAAAGTTTCTAGTAGAAATGTTGTCGCTCACCGACCAGTTTTACTTCCCTGACATGCTAATATTATTAGCATTAGCCAGGCGGAAATGACAAAGTTGCACATGCGCAGTCATGTTAGTTTTTCACGCTCAGATAAAAACGAACAGATCAAGCGTTTACATGCGCACCGTTCTTTTTGTCTTACGGCTCAAAACCCCGACATTGTCAACCAGATGCAGCAAAGCCTGTACGTAGAGTGATCCTTCCTAACACCATATTGGTGTTTGTAAAGAATTGAGTTATGATCTAAATAATGGAGAATCCTTTTATACACAAGTAATTACAGTAATTTACAGATTTAAACATTTTAATGAAAAATTTTATTTAATTATTTTGCTTTTTAAAATTTTTTTATCTTCTTCACTCCAGCTTTCTGAGGCCCCCTGGGGCCGCGGCCCCCACTTTGAAAAACATTGCATTAGAGAATAGTGCAAACAGGATATCAACAACAGGGGTGCGAAGCAAACATTTTGCCCCAAAATTGTGTAAAATGCTTTAGTTTGTGTGAGAATGTGATCACACAGAGGTTGTTCACATATTACAAATTAGATTAGTTAAAAATATAAAGTGCACTAAATTGACTTATCTGCTGGCACAAATCCATCAAATTGCATTAAAATAATATACAAAAGCAGTCTTCAGTGTATTAACAGGTGACTGAAAGGTTTTCAGAAAGACCTCATCTACACATTCAGTACATTAGGAGAATAATAAGCATATAAATATAATAAAATAAATATAAGTTAAAAAAAGGAAATTTGGGGGAAACTACGATGATCAAAAGCATCAGCTAAAATTGAAACTTACCTAAACACAATCTGCAAGCCCAATTTGGCAAAACAATATCTATAAACTTCAAATAAAGCAAGTATTATTTAAATATGTTTAATTATGATCATTTCAAAGCGATCACAGTTTTTCCAGGATCTGTAGTTCTGCTTTCAATGAAACAAAAGAGGAAACACTAGAAAATCAAGAAAACCCAAACATCAATGCCAAAATGTCCTGGATGAGCTGAACATTTTGACAAATGAGCGATTCAACTAGTTGAACGTATTCTGAATAAAATGTACAGACGAAAGTATAAAGAGGAACACGATGGTGTAAATGCTGGCTCAGCATGAACGCTTCAGTCTTTCCTGCTGAGTCACAGATTCAGGGTGGAACAGTTCATCTGGGAAAAATCAAACGTGTCAGCTAAAACTGTCAAACATCCAAACTTGTTTAAATAATAATCATTAGATGGAGACTTTAGATGATGTTTTTCTTCTCCTGCAGTTTGTGGTTGAACGTCACAGCAGCACAACGGGGGACGACTAGAAGGAGAGCAGGATGATAATCCGACGTGTCCTGACTCAGGGGGCTCTGTGGCGGGTGGCAGCGACCCGCCCGGTCACGGTCGCTGCTGCCGTCTCTGAGCGCACCGTGGTGATGCGGGGCTGTGCTCTCCGCCTGTCGTTGCCGCAGCCTTTTAACCCGCGGTGGCTCTCAGCATCAGCCTCCAGCAGAGCAGCACATCAACCGAAGCACCAGCCCCCACAGGACGGAGCCCAGTCCAGCTCTACACCTCCACCTCCGGACGTCCAGAGAAGGGAAAGTGAGCCTGATCCTGCAGAGGTGGACCCACTGCAGGACAAGTCCATCGGCTTGGTCCAGAGGTTCAAGAAAACCTTTAAACAGTATGGAAAGGTGATGATCCCAGTGCACCTGGTGACGTCCTCCCTCTGGTTTGGCACCTTCTATTACGCTGCTATGAAGTGAGTATGCTTGATCTAAATAAATGTAAAATACAAAGAATATAATTTTTAAAGTCACGTTGTTGAACACCTTTTTAACTTTTTACCCTTCTTCTTGTTGTTTTGTCATCTCAGAGGTGTGAATGTAGTGCCGTTCCTGGAGATGATTGGTTTACCCGAGTCTGTAGTCGGCCTTCTGAGAAACTCATCAAGTGGCTATGCTCTGACTGCGTACGCCATGTACAAGGTATTCTTCCCTCGGGACAGGCTAGTGTGTATCAGTGCTTAAGCTTCAGTCAGAAACGTTGCACCCAGCTAATGTTTACACGTACAGTGTATCACAAAAGTGAGCACACCCCTCACGTTCCTGCAGATATTGAAGTCTTTCCTTTCATGGGACAGCACTGACAAAATGACGCAGTGAAAAGTAGTCTGTGTGCAGCTTATATAACAGTGTCAATTTATTCTTCCCTCAAAATAACTCAATATTCAGCCATTCATGTCTAAACCACCAGCAACAAAAGTGAGTACACCCCTTAGTGAAAGTTCCTGAAGTGTCGATATTTTGTGTGGCCACCATTATTTACCAGAACTGCCTTAACTCTCCTGGGCATGGAGCTTACCAGAGCTTCACTGGTTGCCACTGGAATGCTTTTCCACTCCTCCATGACGACATCACGGAGCTGGTGGATATTCAAGACTTTGCATTCCTCCACCTTCCGCTTGAGGAGTAAAGCAGTAAAGCAGCGGTCGTCTTAGAGATGTTTGGGGTCGTTGTCATGCTGGAACACTGCCCTGCCACCCAGTTTCCAGAGGGAGGGGATCATGCTCTGCTTCAGTATTTCACAGTACATATTGGAGTTCATGTGTCCCTCAGTGAAATGTAACTCCCCAACACCTGCTGCACTCATGCAGCCCCAGACCATGGCATTCCCACCACCATGCCTGACTGTAGGCATCACACACTTCTCTTTGTACTCCTCACCTGACTGCCGCCACACACGCTTGAGACCATCAGAACCAAACAAATTAATCTAGGTCTCATCAGACCATAGGACATGGTTCCAGTAATCCATGTCCTTAGTTGACACGTCTTCAGCAAACTGTTTGTGGACTTTCTTGTGTACAGACTTCAGAAGAGGCTTCCTTCTGGGATGACGGCCATGCACTCAGCTTCTTTGGACGACCAACGCGAGGTCTGTTCTGAGTGGACCCTGCTCTTTTAAAACGCTGGGTGATCTTGGCCACTGTGCTGCAGCTCAGTTTCAGGGTGTTGGAAATCCTCTTGTAGCCTTGGCCATTTTCATGTAGCGCAACAGTTCGTCTTTTAAGATCCTCAGAGAGTTCTTTGCCATGAGGTGCCATGTTGGGACTTTCGGTGACCAGTGTGACAGAGTGTGAGAGCTGTACTACAAAACTGAACACACCTGCTCCCTATGCACACCTGAGACCTAGTAACACTAACGAGTCACATGACATTTTGGAGGGAAAATGACAAGCAGTGCTCAGTTTGGACATTTATGGGTGTAGTCTCTTAAGGGTGTACTCACTTTTGTTGCCGGTGGTTTAGACATTAATGGCTGTATATTGAGTTATTTTGAGGGAAGAATAAATTGACACTGTTATATAAGGTGCACACAAACTACTTTATATTTTGTCAAAGTGTCATTTTGTCAGTGTTGTCCCATGAAAAGATAGACTTACATATCTGCAGGAATGTGAGGGGTGTACTCACTTTTGTGATACACTGTAGTTTCTACTTAGACAAGTCTTTGTGGCAGACCTGAGAAGATAGGCTAACATGCTGGGTGGTGTGGGCAGTGGCACTACCCAGCATTTTAACTCGTCTTCTCTAGTCCACACATGCTTCAGCTAACAAACATAGTGCTAGCTAAGAGTTAAAAGTATCAAATCACTAGCCAAAAGTAGCAAAAGGTTATCTAAAAGAATGCAGGAGTCTAAAAGCAACAGGAACACAATAGTATGAATGCTGCAACAACATTTATTAGACTATTATTATTACTCTCCACTAAAGAATTTTGGGAAAAAATGCATTAAAGTAGTCCCTCGCTACTTCGTGGTTCATTTATCTCGGACTCGCTCTATCGCGGTTTTTCAAAATAAGATTGGACATGACACACAATTGGCTGATTGATGGATGAGCCGCACGATTGGCATGAAATTTTTATTTAAAATAAATATTTTAAATTAGCACCTTCTGCACCTTTGTGCAGCCCACACTGCAGAATAAGATTCCTCCTGCAGCTCCTCCTCCCTCCTCCTCTGTCGATCTCAGTTCTTCTGTGGAGAAGTGGGCGTGGCCGAGAGTGCACAGAGCAGTGGCTGAGAGGAGGCAGGGAGCTGAGTTCATGACATGCTGTGCTCTTTTAGGGCGTTTAGAGTTTAGAAACATTGTTTAGAATATTGTAAGAGTGTGGGAAGGGTTTAAAACACATTAAAAAAGTATATACTAAAATAAACTACTACTTACTACTAGGGATGGGGCCGATCCAGTATCAGTATCAGCATCCGATACCAGCATAATTTACGTATCGGATTTTTCCGATCCAACCTGCAGAGATTTCCGATCCATGATGCATGTTGGCTTCAAACTATGGAATGGATTTCCTGAACGACGGCGTGTCTCATGAGCCCAGAGTAATAAGACCCGCCTCACATTCAGGAAATCCAGTTCATAGTTTGCAGCCAGCTACAACGTGAGGACTGAGTTAGCAGCACTGTGGCTAACAGCTAACCAACTTTTCATCTAAACATGTCCGCTGTGTGGAAGTATTTTACACTAAACACCACAAAACAAGACAGCAACGTGCAATGTCTGCAGAGCCACAGCGCCACATTAAACCACGGTAAAGTGAGTTTTACGATGGACAATCGAGCTCCGTGGCTTCAGCGGGGCGCTGCTCTTTGCTCAACCCAAAACAAGCGACTCGACACCGTCCAGCCGCGTCCAATCTGCCCCGCTCAGTCTGCCCGTCTCTGAGGAGGGACAGACTGAGCGCGGCTGCCCCAAATCAGGCTGCCTGCTTCGGATTGAACAAGAAGAAGACATCGCTGAACCCATGGAGCTCAAATGTTTACAGAGAAGTTGCTAAACTTTATCATAATTAATGACCAACCACTATCAGTTGTAGAAAACGAAGGATTTCTCAGCTTGATACTTGCAGTCAAGATATAGTTTACCCTCCAGGAGATATTTATCAGTGCAACAGGAGACAATCATAAAAAACATGATTTGAAAATTATATTAAAAACATAAACAGCTACATTATAAAGTGATGTAAAATACTAAAAACAGGAACATGTCTGTTGGTTTATGTCATGAACTTAGCAGATGTTTGAAGCCATTTAACATTTTATTTTATTTTATTTATTTATTCGTTCATTTAAAAGAAACAAAAATAAACAAATCATCAAAAAGAAAATACTGAATGAAAAGAGTGCTGAAAGGAGAAAAATTCTTATATCTGCCCCTTATTTAAAAAAAAAAAAAAAAGTAAAATAACTTTAAACAATCACTTAAATTAATCACTTTAATATCCACTTTAAAGCTAGGAATAATAAAAAAGAAAACATGTTTTGTGTTAGCAGAATTTAATTCTAACTTTGAAACTTATCCAACATTAATAAAACTTACCTCAAGTTGCCTTTTTGGACATGCATGCATAGATTTGTACTAATTGTACTTGAGAGGAGATTATTACAGCCTCATGTAAAATCAATAATGATCATGATATCGGAATAACATCAGTACCGGCCGATATCCAGATTTAGGTATTGGGATCGGATCGGAAGTAAAAAAAATGTGGATCGGTGCATCCCTACTTACTACTTGTACTACTATTAATACTTTGCGGTTTTTCACTTATAGCGGGTCTTCAGGGTACAGATCCCTTGTGATAAACGAGGGACTACTGTATAAAAAAGCAGAAAACAGCATCAGTGGAGAGTAAAACATCCAGAAACTGAACAAATAAAGTGTCCTCACTAATTAAAAGCCTCAGCAGACTGTTTCTGCCAAACACAAGTTCAGGTTCTTGTTTTTGGAGCAAATTGAACTGTACTGATGTTTCTTTTTAGAGATTTATTGAAATATTCACGTAAGGCTTTAATACTATGATAATTTTGAGGTATTTATACTGTAGTTGTAAACTAGAGACACAATATCACAAAGTGACTTTTTGACACAATGATGGAGAAATATTGAAAGAATTTCTTTTCTTTTTTTTTTAAATCACCAGTTAAAGTTTTTTTTATTTTTTTATTTTATTCAACCTTCATTTATTCAGGTAGTGTCACTGAGTCACGAGGACTCGTTTTCAAGTTTTCATGTTAAGGGCCTTGCTCAAGGGCCCAGAGTGGTGCAAATGAGGGTGGAGGCAGGTGTGGTTATTTCCCACATTTTGATGTTGTCAGTCTGGGGAGTTGAACCGATGACCTTCTGATCACAGGCTCACCTTCTCTAACCTCTGTTCCACCACTCCCAGTTGTTTATTATTTCATCTCACAGTCTGAGAACCACTGTTCTACAGTTCATGGGGGTGGATCTGTGCTCACCACCTTCTGTTTTCCACAGATTGCAACTCCTGCCAGGTACACTGTGACTTTAGGCGGAACGTCACTGTCCGTTCAGTATCTACGCAAACATGGCTACTTCTCCACCCCTCCACCAGTCAAAGACTACATCCAGGACAAAATGGAGGAGACGAAGGAGAAACTGACTGAAAAGATGGAGGAGACGAGGGGCAGATTCACAGAAAAAATGGAGGAGACAAAAGGACGCATCTCTGGGAAAATGGAAGAGACCAAAGACAAGCTTTCTGAGAAGCTGCAGGAAACTAAAGACAGAGTCTCGGAGGGAAAAGCCTTCTTCAGGAAGAAAAGTGAATAGTTCCTGTAGCTCTCACTGGTGAACGATTCTGTTCATATCTGTTTGGAGTTGTAGGTAGAGGACACAGAGCACACGTTTCTCAGACTGTTCACATGGAGGAGTGAGAGACACTGTCCTTGTCAGTTTTTCCTGTTGTTTATTTAAATGTCCGATCAGTCTCTAATGACCTCCCATGATGCACTGCACGTGTAGACTAGCAGCTTAACAGACCGTTGGCAACGTTGCGTCCTGCTTCTGTTGTCCCAGACTGGATTTAGACTAAACCACCTTAACTTAGCTCCTGATGACAGCAGGTTGGTTTAGTTTTTTCACTTTAATAGAGAACTGGACTTCACAGACAAACCATCGGAACCACTCAAAGCCAAACAGACCGTTTTGTAAAGAGCCGTGCTAAACCTGCTCATACTGAAAATAAAACTTGAACCTCTTCGTTATCATTGCAGTAGTCTATTAAAGCCTTCGTGAAGGCTGGAGAGTTCACCTTGTGTCCTTCGTGTTGTGATTAGACTTTAAACTTTGTGTTTTTTTGATAGCCAAAGCTGATTTATCACAATCTTAGTGGTGTTGACACCGTGTATTGACTGAAAGTTGTGTGTTGAAATGACCACATTAGGTGATGTTTTGGAAGCTAAAATCTTTATTTCCTTGTGGGGAGTTGATCACGCATCAGAGTTACTGGCATCAGTGAAATTCTGTCAGTAATGGATTAAATGTTCTTGGCAGAATCACCGTCTAACTAAAAACATACTAAATAACCAACAAGAAGAATATGCCTTTGAAATGGAGTGATGAATAAAGTAGCAAGTTATTAAAAAACTTTTGTACGTAAACCTAACTAAGTATTGTCTCCTTCCTATAAAACATGTATTGTGTTGTCCTATCCACCTTATTCCTGGAGGCTCTACTGTATAAATGATTATGGGTACAACTTCCTGTCAGACAGGAAGTAGCAGTAAGCATTGGTTAACCATGGTGGCAGAACATGGACCGTGGTTTATTTGAAAGTAATTTACATTCAGTTTAGCATATAAAACACTGTTTTTTGTTTTGTTTACATTTATTTGACAACCATACAGTTTACTAAAATAGCTGTGCTGAGTTCAGGTACCTGTTGTGTTCACAGCTGCAGGAACAATCAGACCAAACTAAATCAGTGGCTACAACAGAGTTTTGAACACAGACCCAAAACAAAAAGTGTTCCTGTGAAAAGAGGTATGGTTTCCATCTCCTACCTACAGATGAGGAATTGAGAAGAATGTGGCTGAAAAATGTGAACTTGGAAGAGACCACCCAAAACTGTCTGTGTGCTCATTTCACTTTGTTGACAAATGGCCAACGGAGGAAAACCTGCATACAGTGGGGAGAACAAGTATTTGATACACTGTTGATTTTTCAGGTTTTCCCACTTGCAAAGCTTGTAGATGACTGTAATTTTTATCATAGGTACTCTTCAACTGTGAGTGATGGAATCTAAAACAAAAATCCAGAAAAATACAATGTATGATTTTTAAATAATTAATTTCCATTTTATGGTGTGAAATAAGTATTTGATACACCAGAAAAATTAAACTTAATATTTGGTACAGAAACCTTTGTTTGCAATTACAGAGATCAGACGTTTCCTGTAGTTCTTGACCAGGTTTGCACACACTGCAGCAGGGATTTTGGCCCACTCCTCCATACAGATCTCCTCCAGAGCCTTCAGGTTTCGGGGCTGTCGCTGGGCCACACGGACTTTAAGCTCCCTCCAAAGATTTTCTATGGGATTCAGGTCTGGAGACTGGCTAGGCCACTCCAGGACCTTAAGATGTTTCCTACGGAGCCACTCTTTAGTTGCCCTGGCTGTGTGTTTTGGGTCGTTATCATGCTGGAAGACCCAGCCACGACCCATCTTCAGTGCTCTTACTGAGGGAAGGAGGTTGTTGGCCAAAATCTCACGATACATGGCCCCATCCATCCTTCCCACAATATGGTGCAGTCGCCCTGTCCCCTTTGCAGAAAAGCATCCCCAAAGAATGATGTTTCCACCGCCATGCTTCAAGGTTGGGATGGTGTTCTTGGGGTTGTACTCATCATTCTTCTTCCTCCAAACATGACGAGTGGAGTTTAAACCAAAAAGTTCTATTTTTGTCTCATCAGACCACATGACCTTCTCCCATTCCTCCTCTGGATCATTCAGATGGTCATTTGCAAACTTCAGACGGGCTTTGACATGCGTTGGCTTGAGGAAGGGCACCTTGCGTGCACTGCAGGATTTTAACCCTTGACGGCGTAGAGTGTTACTGATTGTTTTTTTTTGAGACTGTGGTCCCAGCTCTATTCAGGTCATTGACCAGGTCCTGCCGTGTAGTTCTGGGCTCATTCCTCACCTTCCTCAAGATCAATGATGCTCCACGAGGTGAGATCTTGCATGGCGCCCCAGACCGAGGGAGATTTTCCGTTATTTTGTATTTCTTCCATTTTCTAATAATTGCACCAACTGTTGTTGCCTTCTCACCAAGCTGCTTGCCTATTGTCCTGTAGCCCATCCCAGCCTTGTGCAGGTCTACAATTTTATCCCTGATGTCCTTACACAGCTCTCTGGTCTTGGGCATTGTGGAGATGCTGGAGTCTGATTGATTGAGTGTGTGGACAGGTGTCTTTTATACAGGTCACGAGTCCAAACAGGTGCAGTTAATACAGGGAATGGGTGGAGAACAGGAGGGCTTCTTAAAGAAGAACTAACATGTCTGTGAGAGCCAAAATTCTTACTGGTTGATAGATGATCAAATACTTATTTCACACAATAAAATGGAAATTAATTATTTAAAAATCATACATTGTATTTTTCTGGATTTTTGTTTTAGATTCCATCACTCACAGTTGAAGAGTACCTATGATAAAAATTACAGTCATCTACAAGCTTTGCAAGTGGGAAAACCTGAAAAATCAACAGTGTATCAAATACTTGTTCTCCCCACTGTATGTCATGATTGTATTTATTGGCGACCCCCAACGTAAGCAAACTGAGAATGAACGACAGAGTCACGTTCAAGAGGTAAGTGATCTTTATTTACAGGTGCAGTGCCAGGTATATACAGGGCTGAGGCAAGGTGAGTATATTTTATATCCTCAGAAAATCTTTGATGAGAATGTTTATGATGAAGAATAATTTCTTACTGTTTTTGTGTATGTAGGTTCGCCCCGAGAAGGAGTGGAAGGATCCTGAGTTTTGAGGCGGTCCAGTGAAAGGTGAGTATTGGTTGGAGAGAGGAGCAGGTTGATTCAAAATGGTTTGTTTGTTGGCTGCCGTTGATGAGACACCGTTGGTCCACAGGAGAATCCTTGTGGAGAAGTGAGGCCCATGGAAGGACTTGAAAGAGCAGGACGTGGAAGCCCCTTAAGGTAGTTGATGTCCCGGCACTGAAGAGAGGTCTGGCAGGAGTTTATATGCAGCTCCTAATCAGGTCTCCTCAGGCAGCAGCAGGTGTGGTGAATTGTGATGATTAGCTGTGGAAGAAAGTGAGTGATAGAGAAACCCAGGAATCCCACAGCCACACCCCCCCACACACACACCAAAGAATCGTCTCTCGGCGATTTGAGTCTTTTTTCGGGGTGAGCCCTAAAAAAGGAAGAAATTAGTCTGGGGTCCAAGATCTGAGATCTAGGGACCCAGGAAGATTCCTCGGGGGCATAGCCCTCCCAATCCACAAAGTACTGCACTCCACGGCCTTACGTCCAGAAGGCGTCGGATCGTAAAGGCAGGTGCATTGTCAATAAGACTGGGGGGTGTGGGGATGGGGGGAGGTTGGCCGGAGGGCATAGAGGACTGGTGGTCACTGGCTTGATGTGGGACATGTGGAATGTTGGGTGTATCCTCATGGAGGGCAGGAGTTTGAGACGCACCACTGACCAGTTGATCACCTTGACCACAGGAAACGACCCGATGAATCTGGGTGACATTTTCCTGGGAGTGTCCTTGAAAGTGATGTCCTTGGTAGAGAGCCAAACCTTTTGGCCGACTCTGTACTCTGGAGCCTTGGATCTGTTTGTCAGCAAAGCGTTTGTTCTGCTCGACCGTTCTGGATAGAGCCTGTTTGATCTGGCGCCACACTCTGCAACAGCATCTGATGTGTTGTTGGACAGAGGGGACACCCACATCAAGCTCCTGTGAGGGAAACGGGAGGCGCATACCCAATGGAGGCCTCCAAGGGGGATCTTCCAGTGGCTGCCGAGACTTGGAAGTTATGGGCGTACTCGATCCATGGCAGGTGTTGACTCCAGGTAGATGGGTTGTTAATAACACACCTTAAGGCAGTCTCCAGCTCCAGAATTAAACACGGCGTTGTCATTATTGTTTTTAAAATCTTAAAAATACATCCAGCTGCTGCTCCGCATCCAGAGAAATTGCAAATGGCGGCTCAGTGAAAAGTTTCTGAGATCCAGTGACTCCTCCCCCTGACCAATCAGAGTCCTGCATTTATGTTTTGGTCCAACTCAGCTCAGCTGAGCTCGCTCGGTCCCACCAGAGAAGCAGAGACGAAAAGAGGTCCTGAATCAGCCTCAAATCAGCTAAATATACTAGCTAAAATGCTGGTGCAAAAGGGTTCTTTCTGTGGCGGGCTGCCCAGAATTGGGGCTTATTAGGGGCAGTGCAAAAGGGGCATGTATCATGCGCCTAATGCCAGGGTGACAGGTAAATTTGGCAGTATGCATCCATTCTAGTACTTTACCGACCATAGCAGAAGGAACAAACAACCTCCCAGGGAGGCCGGTTCCGTGGTCTGGTTTGATTCGTTGTACCTTTCTGATGTCCTTCTCGATGGGCCATGCCATCGCTCCCACCTTGCAAGAGGAGGGGAGAATTCCTTCCGGGGAGTCAGGCTCTTCATCTTTGGAGAATTGTTGAGAGAGGGCATTGGGCTTGACGTTACGGGAGCCTGGAATGTAGGTGATAGAGAAGTTAAACCTAACGAAGAACAGGGACCATCTGGCTTGTCTAGCATTCAATATTTTGGCTCCCTGGAGGTAAGCTAGGTTTTTATGATCAGTCCAAATGATAAAAGGGAGTTCAGCGCTCTCCAACCAATGTCTCCATTCCTCTAATGCTAATTTAATAGCTAGTACTTCCCGATCACCTACGTCATAGTTGCTCTCAGCAGTGGACAGCCAACGTGAAAAGAAAGCGCATGGGTGGAGTTTTCCATCGTCGGTTGCCTTTTGGGACAGAACAGCCCTCGCACCTGATTCAGAAGCGTCAACCTCCACAATAAACTGCGTGTTGACATCAGGGTGTGATAAAATGGGAGCTGTAGCAAAAAAGATGTTTTAGTTGGGGAAAAAGCTTTTTCTGCTGCAGGAGTCCAACTGTACTTTCTGAGTGTAGATGTTAGCTGTGTAAGAGGAGTGGCCACTTTACTGTAATTTCTAATGAAACGATGGTAGAAATTAGCAAACCCAAGGAAACATTGTAGTTGTTTCTGGTTGGTTGGGTACTGGCCAGTCAACAACAGCCTTAGTCTTTTCGGGGTCAGATCAAACATGTCCTCTTGAAGATGAAGGCCAGAAAAGTGACAGAGACAGCATGAAATTCACATTTTTCCATTTTAAAAAAGAGCTGGTTTTCTAAAAGTCTTTGAAGAACAGCTTTGACATACTGTACATGTTGTCCTTGGTCTTGGAGTATATGAGTATGTCATCTAGGTAAATGAATATGAATACATTGAGAAAATCTCTAAGGACATCGTTTACAAGAGCTTGGAACACCACAGGGGCACTGGTTAGGCCGAACGGCATAAGATACTGAAAATGTCCCAAC